ACAACGCTACACATAAAAACTGATGATGGTGGAAAAATACACCGAAACGTATTTTGATTGATAAATAGAGACAATAAATGACTGAAACCCAGGAACTAATTTGATTTGGAACAAAAATAAATGTGAATGAATTGAAAAAAAAAACAAAAATGAAAAGCTTGCAAAACTTGATTAGAACAAAACAAATCATAATCAGATGTAAACACCAATGGCCACAAAGCAAATATCAAATTACTCGTTGTCGAGTGACAGTTGAGACTTGTTTATTTATTGGAGTTGATGACATTTATAACTTAAAACAATACTTACACACTTTTCGATCTGTTTCTATTTCTTTAAAAGCGTGCAACAGTTGATTAGAACAAAGCAAAACAAATCACAATCAGATATAAACACCAATGTCAACAAAACAAGTGTCAATTTACTGCTTAACTTGTAGTTATAATTTTAACCACTAGGGGGCGTCTGGACTTTTGAATTTTTGGCGCGATATTATCATTTGGTTTGGTTTTAAATCATGTTCCCTCTTGATTTGATTACATTTCTGGAATATTACCAACCACAACCAATCAATTGCCGATTATAAAGGTAGAGAAAAACGTAATTTGTTTCTACAACGTTGTTTCTGCCCCTAATTTGTTTCTACATATAATCGACTATCTCACCCATACTCGATTTTTTACTTTGTGCCTCAATTTGAAAATAATGACTTCTAACACATCCGCTACTGCATGCAGACAGGAGTTCCGTCATTTTGACAGGAGTCTGTGCGACACAATCTGTCGGTGAGTGTGAACGCCTAGTGCCATGACATCGAATGTCGAAAGTTGTCACGGAATTAAATGTCACCGTCTGAATTAGCCTTTACTCGTCAAAACACATGAAAACATCTCCAAGAGCACCGAACACAGGAGAAAATGGTTAAAAAGTAAACAGAAAACTGTCGAAAAAATTGCCGAAAATCAAAATGTTTCCCAGTTATAGAACGCACCTTGCTTGACGAAATGTATACAAAACTAGACAATTTAATTTAATTTTTTTTCATATTTCAAATTTAATTAAATTTAATTTTTTTTTCAGTACAGCGAATAAGTTCACATACTTAACTGAACTTAACTTAATTAATATATTGATGCCTAAATGTTCCAGGCATTTGTATGCATCATCCAAATGAAAATGATCTCCAAGAATTACGCCCTAAGTTTTAATTTAATTGAAATATACCTAAAACTAATTTAATTTATTTAATTTAAACGAAAAGAAAGATACATGAAATAACCAAAACAAAACTTTACACACAGTTTACTTAAATTAATTTTACCATCACCCAAAAGCAACATCCCCAAAAACCACTAAAAAAAATCACATTTGTCTATATTTTGAAAAATAAATTGTCTGCAGCCAATAGACCAAGCTTAGGCCTGCATAAACAACCTCAATTTAAAAAAAAATTCAAAAATAGCTTGACGATGACTCAAAACTGCGAAACATTTTCCACAAATAAAACCAGGAAGTGAGTTTCCAACAACACTGGTTTCTGAGACAACAACTGCCAAACTTGCACAGACAACCATAAAAGTGTATGGCAAATTAAAATAACCTAAGAAAAAGCCTGATGCTAACTTAAAATCGAAACGTCTACAACTCATACAACACACTATGCCCAACAAAATTGAAAGAAAAGTAAACCCTTAATTGGAGTAGTTTCAACGTGCAACTTTAAAAATTCCCGCAAATTGCCTGATGATGACAGAAAATCGAAACATCCCTACAAAATACATGCAAACATGTGAAGGGTCCTGATGATGTCTGAAAATCAAAACTTTGCTGACGTTGGCCCTACAAAATGTATCCAACTAACATTAACTTTCTCACTTCGCAAGCCAGAGGAAATAAATTCTAAACTTCAGCCTACGACGAAAACCTCGAAAAATTCTATAAAATTTGCTTGATAACTGCAGAAAATCGAAACACTATAAGGTAACACACAAGTAAAATGCATACAAAGGCAGTTTTACAGATTTTCTGAGTAAAGATGTGAAACTGGCAAAATCCAGAGGCAACTTCATGCAACTTTCACATTTGTAATACCGCTGAGACGCAAAAATCGTTTAACTTCCATTACTTTAACGGGCAGATCGCTTCACCAGAACCGCCACTAAAGTAGGCGGCAGTCCATGGGACGACCTGAACCCCCACAAAAATTTCAACTAGGTATGCTAGCATGTAAGCCAAGCGTTACCAAGGCTTGAATATTTTCCTTACTCATTAGTTTAAGGCACGAATTCCGCTTTGGAAAACGCCAAACTTATACCCAGTGGGTAGATTCGCTGTGTGGGATACAGCAGCTGGTGCCCTCTAGCCCCTGTTTCCCCAAGTAGGAGTGTTAATTCATACCTTGTTTTGATAGGAGCCGCGTCGATGACACACTGTCCCCGCGAGTTAGAATTGATACTCCTCCACCTCCATAGCCTCCAAAGCTGAAACTTTTTGCCACACAGGGCCGCATTGACTGCTCGGTTTCCTCAGATTGCACCTGGATCAAGCGTGTTTTTACCACCAGTGGCTTTGTTTTGCTCAGCTACTCACCTTAAGAAGTTTCCTAATCTGTCTGGTTTGAGAGGGAGGCTGCAACCACTCCAAGCCAGCCCATCGAAGATCCTCCGCAGATTCCTGCATCTAAACATCGATAACTCTGGATTGAGAAGCTGGTTGTACAGGGCAATGTATTGAGTACTGGTATCAAGTTTAGTCGAAACGTAGGCGTTTTCAAGAAAATAAAGAGTTTCTGTTCAGCGTCCCAAACCCGCTAAACTTGCTACCAGAATTCATAAACCAGGGCCGATAACGATGACTATGTATTGAGTACCTCAAAAATTCTCCGCTTTGCCTTCTTATACTCTAGTTCCCGCTCCTCGAAGCTTTTACTTCTTCGGACTTCCATTCCGTATCCACTGTCGGTGCTTTTGAAGTAGTCCTCCATGCTGTTGGAGTCGCGCTTCAGGATCGACCTGCACAAATTTTCATTGACCCCCTGTAGCCAAGAGCGGATCCAGGGGGGGGTCATGGGGGGTCATGATCCCCCCCCCATTCAATTCTCTATCCAACGATCCCAAAACGAATTCTGTGGCTCGAATGGTTCTTGCGAAACTTCGAAAAAAGCAGCGTAATGTTCAAGTGGATTTTGCAACGCAAAAAAAACCGCGAAAAACTAAAACTTCTTGAATTCAAGCATTTTTTGAGAAAACTGCCAACATTTCCCCATCCATGGCTCACTTCCTAAAAAGGCCATTTATTTATCTCTAGAATGATGTACAAATGAGCGTTCTTGCTCATTTTGCCTCCGAGAAATGAGCAAAAATGGGACGGAAAACAT